CATTTAAACTTTTCAATAATATTAATGCTAGTATGTTCTACATATTAATTAAGAAGATGTTAAGAAACACAAAAAAATTGTTAAAAATAGAAGTACAGGATTCAACTGCTAATGAATCAATTTACACTCAGTTCATTATGTCCCCAGAAGTCCTCCCCCACACACTGCACCCATAATTGATTTGTGTAATTGCCTGAAACACAATCCCAGCTGTCCATTATTGGGCATCTTTTTGGTGCTACTGATGCAATAACATTTTTATGTTGCGGCTTTATCTGCACCTGATCGAAGAATACCACAGTAGCTGATCAAGTGCTTATTCCCATGAGCCCACATGTACAAACACTTTAGGTTAGCTTTTAAAGCATTTTTAAAATCTCAATAAATATTAGACCTCATCAATTAGCCAAAACAAGGAAAAAAGAATTGGATTTTTCAGTTAATTTCACCAAGAACAGTTCTAAAGAAGGATCACTGGACCTGAAACATTAAGTCTGATTTCTCTCCACAGATGCTGCCAGACCTGCTGAAGTTTTCCAGCAATTTCTGTTTTTGATCATAAGACATCTGTTACCAACTCATCAAAAACTGGGTCAACCCTCATAGCTAAGAAATAATAGCAAATAATCAAGAATTCTGACATCTTGACCATATGCATTTGGTACTGCAATCCTCACAACATAGGAATTGAGGCAAGTACAATACTAATAATAAAGCCAGTTCTATTTAGGAAGAAAGAAGAATAACAAAAATAGATAATATTTTGAGGAATGTCTTAATCTTGCAAATATCCTGGAAGGTAAGAAAGCATAGATAATGGCAATGCCTCTGCAAAGTAAAAGAAGAAATCCTGTAGCTTTAAAATTATTACATTCTTCACAATGAAGAGAATTTCTAAAAATCTTCATATTGCGATTGGTTTCCTGATGAGAGTGGTTATTTTTATGCCATGTTAAAAGTTTGAACATTGAAACGGTGAAATTAAAATGCATTGTGCAATGTTTGACATAATGATAAGCCAATTAATATTCTATTTCCTGTCAATTAAAGTTGCAATCCATTACAGAAACAGTTCTAAACAGTCTCTTAGGCATTTCTCTATTAGTAAAGCAAATTATGGATGTTCTCCAGGTTAACATCAACATGTTCTTGGGAAATCGACTGCTAAAAATAACGAAATTACATTTATAATTATATTTAGTCTTTTTTATTATACTCTTTTGGCTGCTGGGAAAAAATTAATATACAAACTCAATTCAACTCCAACACTAACTGTTGTAGAAGGTACCATTCGGGTGGAGATGGTGGTTGGTATTGGAACAAACCCAACTCACAAGAGGCCATTGCCAGCACACAGGATTACTTTTTTAAAAAAAAAATCATGGGATGAGGAAGACAACCTTTCCACATCTACCATACAAGATTCTTAAGGGACTTGATATGTTTCAATAAGGTTGATTCTCATTCTTCAAACTGTGGATAAATCAAGGCCCAACCTACCTCTACTTCTCCTTATAAGAGGGTTCTCCATATCTGATATAAGCCTAGTGATCATTTTGTGGAATGCCTTCAATGCTACAATATATTTCCTTAAACTGTTCATTGTATTCCTTGGTGCATTTTCTCTAGTGATAGTTATTGCATTTATTTCCTCTCCTCCTTTAGCTCCTTGATTATTAAGTAAATTTTGCAATACAATTGGTTCTTCTAGAGTGAAGACTGATGCAAAGTATTTATTCAACTTCTCTGCCATTTCTTGGCTCCCCATTATTATTTTCCAAGCTTCATTCTCTAAGGGCTGATGTTCACTTTGGCTTCTCTTTTCCTTTGTATATATTTAAAGAAGCTCCTGCTGTTCATCTTGATCTTACATGCAAGTTGACCTTGAACGTTTAATTTCTCCATCTTTTATTTTTAGACAATTTGTTCTGGTTTTTAAAACTTTCCCAATCATCCGTTTTAAACTGATCTTTGCCACAGTGTATGTTTCTTACTTTCAAGTTGATGCCATCCTTAGGCTTATATGAGACTCCAGATCCACAACTATGTGGCTAAGACTTAACTATTCTCCAAAATAGCCAAGCAAACCACACAGTTGCATTACAGTGATCAATAAATACTGGCCTTGCCACCAATGCCCACGCTCCACAAATGAATGAGAAAAGCACTCCTGTAAAGCAGCTCAACATATTTTCTTACATTACGTAATATAAACATTTTTGTTGTTGGCCAGATTTAAACTATAACAGATGTTCCTCTGTACACTTAAACATACATCTAATTTATTTGAGTATTTAGCTGGCTGTAATAATGCATGTCCTTCATGCTTTGAATCATCTTCAAATATGACCACGTTGCAACACCTTAAATCTGTATGGCTTTGAGTTTAACTACAGCCTTAACTAAATGGAATTCTTATCAAAAAACCATTTGTCAAGATCAACCACATCCTACAGTTTTCTAAAGTCCACTTTAGTTTTCACATTCTCCTGCTGAGGAAAGCCACTTGCCCTTGTGATTTCCGTCCCCTTTCACAATGGTCTGACTGGCAGGAACAAATTACATATGGCTGCAGTCACCAAACCAAAGAATTGGTCTCCTGCATGACAAAAAGGTAGTAGATTGGAGTCATGTAAATAAGGCTTGCTTATTAAGATTGGCAGAGCAACTCAGCCACTGGTGCAGGCATTGTTGTATCAATGCCAGCCTCAAGCCCAGAAAAATGTGGAGGGGACAATCAAAATATAAGTTAGAGGAAGTGCAATGGACTGCTATGTGAACATAAAGAATCTTTGAAACTGAACAGAAGACTTGCCAACTGTTGAGACACTGGTCTTGGGTAGAAACTTGGGCAGTATCAAGAAGAATGTAATGTTGACTGAACACTAATGAGATGCAGATACTGAACTGGATAAGTGGACTAACAAAAAAAAAGACAAAAGCAGGAACCAGCCCATCAGAGGGCCAGTGAAGATCATGGGAGCTTCACAGAAAGAAGCCCGAAACAGATTTCAATAATAAAGTCATCCATCATACAGAGAGAAAGGAATGTGATGGGGTGACCGATGGAGATGGAGATGGAACTGGCAGGAAGGAAAGGAGGGAGGCCTAAACCCATATTGAAAAATGCAGCAGCAAGAGACTTAAACACAAAGGACTGGAAGAGGATTGCGGTAGCTGATAGGAGGAGACGCACAAAGGTGATAGACCAGCATCGCACCATCCCCAAGTGAAACGAATGATGCAAAGAAAAATAGAAAGTTTAGATTTGACCAGGTCTCAATGCAACTGATCACATCAGATTGCCATTCTATTTGGACATTGTACCCAGTGCCACCGATACACCCTATCCCCAACAAAACTCGCTACCACTTTAAAATAGTGGCTTCTTGGTTAGAAAGTTGAGAGTTGAAGCTTTACTTGAGACTTGATTAAATAATTTAATCTGGCACCATCAGAGGCATCAGTTTTCAGGTGAGAAGTTAAACCAAAGCCTGGTGCGCACTCTGATTAGCATCATCAGGTGAGAGAAACAAAATTAATGTTTCAGGTTAAAGGTCACAGGCTTGAAATGTTAACTGTTTCTCCCCACAGAAGTTGTTGCATGTCCTGTTGAGTAAGTCTTTCTGTTCTTATTTCAGATTTGCAACATTTCAAAAAGCAAAATATTGCCACTTTTAAGATTGTTATTAAAGATCCCACTTCCCAATTCAGAGCAGACGAATTGTCAATGAGCCACCGTTAGCATTTATTTCTCAAACTACACCGAAATACACAAATTAACTGATAAATTTTGTAATGTTCAAATTCCCGCTATTTTCTACAACTCAACAATAGTAATGCTTCAAAAGAACATAGTTGGCTGCAAAATGTTTTACCTTCAGACTGTGGACACTGCACAAATTCACGTTTTCATATTTACTGTCACCCTTTTCAAATGTGGACACCACAGGAATCAGTTTTCACTCTCCATGTACCTGTCAATGCTAACTGATCCAATGACAACCGCCACTGCCTCTCATTTTCTTCCCCCGTTTGATATCATCCCTGATGATATATTCATTGATCTCTCTTAGCCTAAAACTTTTATGGCATTTGCTGATCTAATCAGGTTTTCATTTCATGCATAGACGTAAAGCAGAGCAACAATGGAGAAAGTAGATGGGAGTGTATAAAGTGTTGCAGCACCATACAGTATTTACTAATTGTACTTGTGATGCTACAACCGGTCTACTAGTGGATAAACTGGAATGGAAAATTGGCCACAGTATTGTCAAGAACAGAACTCAACCGCAGCAGCATTTTTCTATCCCACATTACCCAAGTCTCGTTATTTTGTGGCTGCAAAGTGAGAAATTGTCTTCACACAGAATCCACACCACAAAAATAGAACATTTTACCAGCTGGTTTATGCCAGCATTTATACATCAAATAAATCTGACTAATGTTTCCAATATTCCTGCCAATATAAAAAGAAAAATAAACTATCCATATATGCTTCAATCTGCACATGGTGCCTTCTAAGCAGAAGCTGGTTAGCAGCCACAAAGCTGCCTGAAAAAGTTTTAGACTCATAAAAGAGAAAACACCTGAATGCATAAATTCCAACAGGTTAAAACAGCTGTTTAAATTTAAATCCTGACCCAAACTTAGCAATTTTTGTGGAAAGAACACACAGGTGTCTGATGTCCAGCACTGGTTAGGCGAAATGACAGCAATTAATTAACTTACAAGGTATTTGAATTCACCCTTTCTTATCTGGTAGACATGTTCAATTTTTTTTTCTCTGGAGGCATGTTCAACACTATCTGGTTTTCTGCACGTTATGATATGGTATTTAAGCCTAAAACCAAAATGTCACCTAGCATTAAAATGATAGTTTATTTTATTTAATTATATTGAAAAATTATATCATTTTCAATAGATTTTGAAATTTTAAACTGCAAATCCAAGCGCATTAGTTGACTTTCTGAAAATCTAGAAGATTAAATTAATGATTACCTTAAACACCTCTAGTGGCAATGGGAATTTTTCAGCTTCACAGAGAGCCTGTTCAAGGACATCTTTCCATTCAGTGTCACTTTTAAGAGCCTGGATTTCTGCAAAGGAGCACACAAAGAGAATTTATATCAACATGCCACTATTGTCTCCAAGGTTTTTAAGCAATTATAGATATTTATGTGAATTCACTGTTGCTAAATCCAGCAGTGATGTTTTTAAGTGCTGTTCCCAACTGACACCCTTTTAAACTAATACGGATTTCCAAACTTAGACTAAAATTTTAAACTTTAAAATCCAAGATTGATAAATTTCATTACAACACAAGTTAACTTGCATTTGGGCTTATTGAGGTTGAGGTTTTACTGACAAAAATGAATCTCAAGTTATACGTATTGCCAATTAAGGACAGTGCAATTCACGAGCCGGTGACAAGAAAAAAAACAGGTTTAGATTAAATAGTATAACAAAGTCAGATCTGATTATGAAATATCAATTCCAGTTTAATTTATTACTTTTAAGAAATGCAGCATATTTCTACACTTCAAATTTATATTTAAATATGGAGTAACTAGGGGTTCATAAACAGGAATAAATGTCACCATCTATAATAGTTTTAAAGTTTTGCGCTCGAATAGCAGGTTCAAAGGTTTACGATGGCCTACAAAGGAAAATCAATTGACGTTTCCAAATTTACTGTAATTAATATATAAAATGTCACTTTAGTAACCCACAATCAATCCAAGTGCAAACTGAATATTCAATAAATTGGAAAAGGACCCAACATTAAAAAAAAAAGCAGGCAATTAAAATACAAAATGAATATAAGCTCAATTTTGTGCAATGTCTTATGTTCAAGTCTTTGTACAAATCTATGGACTGGACTTTATTGGTGCTGTGGTCCCTTCATTCCTGACATTTTGGTCACGAGGGGGTGCATGTCTAGCAGAGTGACAAAATTAAGTAAAATGCCCAATGCTATTATACATCTAGTTTTCAAGAAACAGAGGTGAGATGAAACTTCCTGTTCAGAGGCGTGAAAGTCGCATCTCAGCTGGTTACCAGCCAAAGCAGAGGCCAAAAGAGCTCCAGTATTGTTGGCATCGGCAGAAGCAGTGGCCATAGCCAATACTGCAGGGAGGCAGAGGAGGCATACCATGCTACATTTCAGCTCAATTGATGAATCAGGGGTTTCTGAACTTGAAAGTAGAATGGGGGTATGAGACAACAGAAAACTGGATGAAATTCCCCAATGGCTCCAAGAAGACTGGTAAGGAGAGAAAACTTTTCCTGCCACCAGCTCAAAGTAAAACCCACTGGTTGGATCTTTGTCATTGGCCTCTGCTGATAAAGTCTTAGCGCTGGTGGTGGAAAGAGAACCATAATTGCCCACTTTGGAGCTTTAGTTAACCCACTGGACAGGGCTGTTAAGGACCACAAGTTCCAATCCCATGTATGTTGTCCAATTGTCCAGGGACCTGAAGCAACCTTGCTATGATGTTATGGAGCTGCACCTCGCTGAGCACAAATGGCAGAATTAGAACATGCTAGAGTGTGACACACAAGAACAATGCACTGGAAGATACTTTGAGAGCACATGGACATGACATGTAAAGAAGATAATTAGTCTTCAATTAACACAACCACAAGAACACATAGAGCCTACTGTAATTACCAGGTAGAGCAGTTTTTAGTACTAATGTACAATAAGCTTTGTTTCTTTGAAGTCTAAGCCTGAAGATAGTTTTTGGCTTTACCTACACTTCAACCAGTCTGCCTTGAACTCAAACTCAATGCAGCATCAAACCGCATGACAAAAGAATGTGTATGTGAAGATAAAAACAGAAATTGAGATTAGTTGCAAAACCTTTGCAAAAACCTCTTTAAAGTAAAAAGTTAATTGTTACTAACATCCATATTATAACTCAACAACTATACATTAAGAAACTACTTCATTAATGAATAAATTTTCCATAGGATCATGAAGCATAATTATACTTTTGAAATTAGTTGCAAAATCATTATAAACAAAAAAGTAAAAATATTACTTATAGTATCTAATATACAAAACTCTTCAAAAGAAGTTTAAAACTTTCACTTTCAGTTTTTGTTTTCAATTGACAATTTTTGAGTGAGATTCAAAAATGTTTTCCATTGCTTCTGGCATAATTATTATTTGAACCCACACCTGTTATTCTCTAACTTCCACAACACATCCACAAATGAAAATTAAAAATGCCAAAGCACTGTACAGCTAATAAAGTACTTTTAAAATGTCACCACCACTGTAATGTTAGGAACAGATGGTCAGTTATCTGGATTGCTGGTTTCTGATGCAGAGTAACACCAATAGCATTCAATTCCTCACTGGCTGAGGGTACCATGAAGGATTGATTCTCCTTCTTAAGCTCTCCTCTCCCTGAGGCACTATGACTCTGAGGTTGATGATGAGGAGAAATGTAGCAGCCAATTTGCACACCATGAGCTCCAACAAACAGCAAGGTAATAATGAGTAGGTAATTTGTTTTTACAATGTTGAGGGTTACACTTTGGCCAAGATGCCAAAATAATCCTGGTCTTATTTGAAAATCTGCCACTGGACCTTTTACATCCATCCAGAGTAGGCAAATTGAGTATCAGTTCAACATCTCATTTGAAAGACACCCCCAACAATGTAGAGATAGTAAGAACTGCTGATGCTGGAGTCAGGGATAACAGAGCGTGGAGCTGGAGGAACACAGCAGGCCAGGCAGCATCGGAAAGTTGATGTTTCGGGTCAGGACCCAAGAATGTCAACGTATAGTTGCTAAGTTATAATATTGATTGAAATGAATGATATTAGTAAAAGTAAAATGCCTGCTGTGTTCCTCCAGCTCCATACGGTGTTATCCCCAACAGTGTAGGACTCCCTCAGTACTGGAGTTCATGTAATGTAGATACATCTACAGTGCTGTTAGGAAAGGAGATTACATACAGAACCATTCTCAATCTGGGCTGGGATATCTCAAAAACAGAGTATCAAGTTGCACAGTAAAAGGTGTTATCCTGTCTGCTGTCTAATGCTTCGGAGCCCACAAAATGGTTCTAAATTTGAAATGCACTATTCAATAGTAACCGGAAAGTGATGATCTATGAATCTCATTAGGAATTAGTTGGAACAAAATTATGTTCACCAGGATGAATAAATACAAATAATCAACAAGTGTCAATAATAGTGAGAGACTGTTGTAACATTAAACTGCAAAAATTAATTAAATTCAACACAACATTCTAGAACGACAATACTCTCACTTCTTTGGAGTCACAAGGAACTTTCTTTGAAAACTTTACATTGTGTTCCTGCTCAATCCCGACACGCTGCATTTTTTTTTTAGACAGACTGGTACTCATTCATATGTATAACTGGAGTTCAAAAATGTCATGAGAAACATGACAATTATTTGTTTCAAAATGCAAAAGTCATCAGTCACAGCCAATTTACTAAATAAAATCTAGTGGGATTGGTTTTAGAGGGCCACAGACAACATTGTTTAAAGGTGCATAATTTAGGCATTCAGATCACTGTAACCTGTGTGTCATTTTTGATTTTCACAGGGTTTTTTTTTGAGCTTGGAGTTTACTTGTTGCTGATTTCAGTTTAGCTCACACATAAAATGTAAGCCCTCAACTTTAAGGTGTCATGTCTGCTGGAACAAGAGCAACAGTTAGAAAACAGCAAGTAGGCAGAGGTCTCATGGATGGGGTGATACATTCATAGAGTGCATAGCCCACAAACACACTTCCTGGATATACGACGAGCTTGTGCTTCTTTTTGGTGACTGAAGCACTTATTTATGTGTCCTGATGCAACAAGACCATCGGCTGGCTCAACACATTGTCATGCTTTGCCTGTGGCTGACCAGTACGCTCATTTTGTTTTGTCTCAGAATCTTTTCAAGATGTTGCAAGGGAAGCTGCATGAAACAAGTCACTATTATCCTGTCTGCTACAGTCACCTATTGCATCATCTTTCCTATTGACACTAAAAGCCAGAATGAGAGACCTCTAAGACCTCTGGAGCATGGCTCATTTTCATTCTGCCTTCATGTAACTATCATCAAGATGAGCTATCATATTAAAAGGGGCAACCTGGAGACTCTATTACGAAGATGAAGAATTGAGGAAGTCAATCAAGTTATTTCATATGACATGTTTACATTCTTTTCTCATTTATAGCTCCATTATTTAAATGTTGCATTATACAAACAACAAAGAAGCAAAACAGCAAACAGATGATTTTATGTTTAGAAGATAGTCAAGTCATGAAAATTAATCAGATTTAAAGCAACTGAGGGGTTGTCCAACATACTTGAAAGAATTTTAATCATTAATGTAACAGAATAGAACGGACATCACCTTAAAAACATAAATAACTATAGAGCTTGTGCAAGCTTCAAGTAATTCATATTTACACAGTTAAGGCAGTGTTTTAGTGCTCAGAATTACAATATAGTACTATACAGAGTCATCAGTTCACAACTAAATTCCTTGCAAAACCAAAAATCTCCTTTAGGCTTCCATTGACACACCCTTCCAAGTTATTCATCTCTCAATTTCTACCGAAATTATTAACATACTACAATAAATAGAAACAAAATATTTCAATCTGACTCAGAGGAAACTCTCTGCTGATTGGAGTCATACATAGCACAATGGAAGATAGTGGTGATTGTTGATCTCTGCAAAGGTCCTCAGAAGAATATCCTGGGGTCAACCATCTTCAGCTGCATCACTGTTCTACCCTCCATGATAAGGTCAGAAGTGGGGATGTTCACTGATGATTGCTTGTTGTTCAGCATCATTCATGCCATCTCAGACAATGAAGCAGTCCATGCCCAAATGCAGCAAGATTAGTAATATCCACGCTTAGGCTGACAAGCAGCAGGTAGCATTCATGCCACAGTGTTAGGCAATGACCATCTTCAACAGAGAAAATCTCACTATCACCACTTAACATTCCGAACCTTCGCTCAAATCCCCATTATCAACATCTGGGGGTTACCACTGATCAAGAACTGAACTGGACTAGCCATGTAAATACAGTCGCCGTAAGAGCGGATTA